CAACATATTTAAGAGGTCATTTACGCTTTGTTTGGGCTCCATTTTTCTAAAAATACATCTTTTCGTAACTCATTTTCAACTGCACATTTACTCATAAAAAATGTTACACGTAAATCCAAGAGTTTGTTCTTATTTTTTAATCACACGTTCTCCAAAAAATACTATTTCAAAATACATTTCCTCCTAAAATCTCATTTTATGGAGCCCAAATAGGGGCTTAGTCTACTTGGCTTGCACTCTGTAAATAATATCACACATTTCTAAAAAAGAGAAGAAAGTTTTTGAATTATGAAATTTTATAATTACATTGCAATCATACTAGACTCAAAATCTTGGTCCTAACATTTCACACGAGTAGATCATTACTTAAACCTCTCTCATTTGAAATAACTAGATCAAGAGATCGAATCTCTATTTTTTTTTCTTTATAATATTAAAAAGCTTAATTAATCTAAAACATGTTATTTGATAATAAAATTCAAGAATATTATAAGATCCCACTAACCACTTCTTTTGTGAGTAAGTTTCCTTGGTGTATAAAATTAATTCTTACCTATATGTTCCTTATACTTGCATTTGTAGTCGTGTGGATAGTAGCTTGGTTTTCAATATCACGATTGAGATATTCTTTGAGAGTTGCTACTCTTGGGGACCATTTGAGTAAGAGCATTAATTCTCTAACAACTTATATTTAAGACTCCACATATAAAGATTTGAAAAGAAATGTTAGGTGTCAAATATTTATTTAGTCGAAACACGAGGAAATTGGTGTAATGTATATATAGTTTCAAGCATCATACGATAAATCTACACTTGAGTTTTTTGACGTGTTCATTTAAGTAATTATTTTTTCAAACATTTTGAAGTTCTTCTTAAAATGAAAATGTACATAAGAATAACTTGAGTTTTTCGATATGTTCATTTAAGTAATTAATTTTTCAAACATTTTGAAGTTCTTCTTGAAATGAAAATGTACATAAGAATATTGAAAAATATAATTATAACTTCATAATAGCATTAAGAGAGATTAAATGAGAAGTTCGGATTTAAAAACAACATTACTTGTAATATTTATTGTTACTTTGGCAATCTCAAAATTAATGCATTATTGAACTTTTTAAGTCATACCTTAATTTTAATAATATTAATAAATATTCATGTTACTTTGGAAAGACAAATTAATGAAATATCTAATCTGAAATAAAAATAAATTTTATTAGTAATTATTACGTAACTGTAAAAATTGATGAGCAAAGAGAAACGACACGATAACTTTGGTAATTTCTAACGTTTTTAAACCCCTAAAAAATTATATTAGTGTTTTTGTCCATTAAGCTCTACATTTATTAATTTTCTAAGAATTTGACAAAAAAAAAATGAGGAATCTTTCAAGAATATTAAAAGCCCTTGTTTGAGCCCCATTTTGAAGGAAAAATAAATTTTTGAATAGTGCATTGATGGAAAAAATGTGGTTAAAATAATGTTAAAATACTGTAAAAGAATACTTTTTTTTTTTCAAACACTATCCTCATTAATAAATTCTAAATTATAGAAAATTAATTGAGTGATTCATATATAGTTATAACTGATGGTGTTAAACCACATTTATACTGTGGAGGTCAATAGGGTAATTTACCAGTGAACCTGACTCAGCTTAAATGATCATTCATATATATATATATAAAGGTTGAACCCCAACCTTGAGGACCCCCATCGTCCCATCCCTAAAATTTTGTGAAGGAAGTAAATCGCGGAATGTGTCCCAACAGATCAGGGAACAAGAGCTGCCTGTACACCGCGCCTATAAGGAGTCCAATTCCATGTCTCAGGAATTGAACCGCCACACTACGGCTGCTAGCAAGGCGTGAGATAACCTCACTCCTTTCCTTTGCACCACTTGACTATGCTCCGAGGGCATATATATATATATATATATATATATATATATATAAAGGACTCATCATTACTTTCATTAATTAAACTATGCAGTTTTCATATCTTACTTTAAAGAAATTCTAATTTTGATTGTTGAGCCTTCCAAAAAAAAAAAAATAAATAAATAAAAAATTGGTGTTTAGACTAACCAGCAAGTAATATTGGCTGGTTCACAATCGCTCCAATCCACAAATTTTTAAGACTTTTAGATGGATAAGTTCAATGCTTGTAATGGATCAGAGCTATGCGTACATTACGTAGATCAATTCAGATCAATACATTTGTTTTGACTTTTCTTTTCCTCTCACGGACAAACGAAAAAAGGTTGTTTTTGGAAATTTACTTTACCCTTCTACCCATTGTCTTTGTAAGAAGCCATCCCCAATATTTAAATAGAGTATTTTGATCTTCAACTTTTACATAATTTTCTCACACACACACCCACATATTTCAAAATTGGCTGGCTAATTGACCTTGAAAAAGTAAAGTCCAAGGGTCAAGAATCAAATTAATTGTTAAAATAATTACGTAAATAAAAAAAAATTAGTTGGTAAATTTGATGGTTCTAATTTTTTAACTTTTGTTCCATAATCGAAACTCATTCTCTTTTTTTCTGATTGAACCTGTAAATCGGATTCAATTCTGAAGGTGCATTTTTCTCTCTCTATCTCTATTTATAAACAATTTTTCACTGAAGATGAATGTGAGGTGTTAGAACACGCTAGCCCAACTTCAATTAACAAGCACAATGATTGTTTCCTCTCATGTCTATGTTTTCATGATGAGAATATATTACTTATTAGCTACTATGATTAGTATTGACACTTTTTTCGAAGTAAATTTTCTTAAAAATATATATATGCAAATGATGCATATAGTTGGTGTCAACAAAATGTTGATGTGTAAAATGTGGTGTTTAGTAAGCTATTATGATTACGTGTTCAATAGGTGAACAAAAATGTTACATATACCAAATATATTTGTTTACACTTTTATATTTATAAAGTTACAACTACAAGTGAAGTAAATTATTAGTACAACATTTAAGAAAATCGCATCGAGTAATAAATAAGATTTTAACTTTTTTATATTAAACTCATGTTCCAATCTCATTCTTTAGAAACTCATTTTCAGCCAGATATTTATCTAATAAAATAATTTTAGCCCTTGTTTGTGTCTTATTTTTCATCAAAATATATTTTTCAACAGTGATTTGACTCTATTTTAATCACACATTTTTCAATAAAATAATATTATACGCAAATTCAAAACTTCTCTTTATTTTTTAACTACACATTCTTCATTACAAAACTATTTAAAAAATGCATTTTTCTAGAAAAATGGGGCTCAAACAACCCCTTATACGTAAACCCACAGGCCGACCCACATGGGGTCATGTGAGGTCAAATTACCCCACAAAATTTTGCTGCTTTTTTCTTCAGAAAATGGTTGTTTTAACTCGTTTTCGATCCACTTTAATACATACCAAATGAAATTGAAATATTACATTCTTAATATCAGTTCTAAGTACTCATGGCCTAGTTTTTCGCTTCTTAATGGTGTACGAAATGATCAACTATAGCAAAAGTTAAGATGTATCAAAGTAGGCCGTTCCAAATTAGTATTTCGAAAATTTTGATAATATTCTAACTTTTAAAATTTGCCGATGATCATATACTATCCAAATCTACAAATCACTTGCATCATTTAGAAGTTCGTTTCGAAAACTATATCGTAGTCATATAGAATGATCCAAACAAATATCGAAAATAGTTAAGTATGCGTCAAACTTACGTATTAAAAGAGGCGTTTAACTCGTCTTTTAAAAACAAATCAATTATTTCATTAACGTTTATTATTTTTTCACGATAAATTTTTCAATATAATTTACATCATTTTATTAGAAAATTTTACATTAAAAATGATGTCAAAAATTCTAAAATCGTTACGGATTAAATGTAATTTCAATTACTTTCAAATTATTTTTTCGTTAAGCTTAAATTTCATTTACTTCCTACATCCAATTTGATTTACTCGTCGTTAGCTCAACATCCATAAATGATATGGTAAACAAAACTATACATGTAGCAAAATTCATTTAACAATATTTATAATGATAGAATTATAAGACACTTTCAAGATGTCAAAATGCGTATTAACTTATATTTATAAATATTATATTGTTTTAAAAAATTACTCATTAATTGTTGGAGCTAAGCACAACCCGCGAGAATGACCTCGCAAGTGATCGCGTCCATACATGTCCGCCGGGGTCCCCATGAATAAAATAATCCCGACCTCACATGTGTATGTTGTGTCAACGCCACTATCATTTATGTGGGCACTGTAACAAGGCTCTAATTTTTGACCCCACAACCCAAAACGGCTGGGTCCGCTCCTGCGTAAACCTAAAACTTTTACATGATTTTTATTCGCGTTCCTCAAAAAATTACTATTGCAAGAAATTCTTCAAAAAAATACAGCTCCATCAAACCATAAATGATTTTGTTTAGTATTGTTTAATCTAACTCGCTATATGAATAGGGCTAATTGGGTTGGGGTGTTTGAGCAAGAAACATAATCACCTAGGTGTAAAGCGAATGAAAATTCATCTACGTACAACCATGTTTCTTAGAAAAGTCGGCTTTGTTTTATATTTGGCACAATAAATTGGACTCGTGATTGGATTGACCAAAAATAAAAAGAGGGAGTACGTGAAATTTTGTTTTTTAACATATTAGACGTGTACTTAATGCTCAAAATTTACTCGACTAAAGGGTTGGTGACAAATATTGTAGGATAGGACTTCTTGTGGGAGTCCTTCTACTCATTTACGCCACTTGATGTAACTACTCATGAGTCATAAAAAGAGTTGTGAAATACAATAGTAATTGATGGTACTATAAATTTTGGGCCCGACCTCATGATGCCTCGGGCATCAAGCCTTGAGTTATTTTATCAGCTGGGCAGATGGCTCGTCCTGGAGGTCAAGGACTCCAACCTCACCACCGGCTTGTGAGTCGGTTTCATTTTGTCTCGATGACCTCGGCCTTACGCAGGTCTATCTTGGGCTAATGTCTGTTAATTCAGATTTTTGGGCAATTTTTGGCAAGAATTTAGAGACAATCTCAAAATAATATTTAGTCAATAAAAAACAATCCCTAGAATTACTGTTCGACGGCTTAAAAGACAAGAAAACCTAATGCAAGTTCAAATCTTACCAATTAATTAAGTGAGAGCGAATAATTTATCTTCATTTTTCTTATAATTTTTATGTCTTTTTTGCATTTTCTTACAATTTTCAAGATCTTTTATCAATAATTTCCGATACTAAGAGATAGAAAGCTCAGTGATTTGTTTATTGATCTGTAAATGAGTCACCTCTATTTCTATCTAGTGCAGATAATATGTGGCTTTATATAACAATTAATCTTCCAATTTTTCGATTTTCTAAATAAATATCAATTCAATCAAATATTAATTCTAACAGCACATTTCATGAGACTTATAACTTTTATCAACTTTTCAAGCACATTTCAATAATTTTTATTAAAATCTACTAAAAAGTCCTTCTCTCTCTCTCTCTCTCTCTCTCTCTCTCTCTCTCTCTCTCTCTATTCAAAGTATTAGTGTAGTAAAATAACACATAAAATAATTTATCAGTTGGCATGTATAATTATATTGAAAGTAGTGTAATCGACGAACCTGGATGGTTTGACGCATTTATCAATTTCATGACTATGATGAAGTATAAATTGGACTAGCTATGTGAAAATTTAATTTTTATTACTAAATAATAAGGATTCATATGGAAAATAATGTAGAAATGTTATTTAAATATGGGAACAATAAATAACTCAGGCCTTAACTGTACCAGAATTCAATTTTAAAAAAAAAAATGCTTAAAAGTTCAAAACTCAAATGATAATTAATAAATATTACATATAAAATAAATTCTAATAAATATGGATCCTAGATTAACACTTTCAATTACCATACTCTACCAAACAACAAATCATAACAAATTTGGAACACCGAGCAAAGCAGAAAAACAACAAAGACCTTTTCGGAGTATAATATCACCATTGAAATCTGACTGTTCGAAAATTATCAAATTGTTGCGGTCAGAAATTGAAAACTATTAGAAGATCAATCAAAAATAGAATTTATAGAGAACTCATCGGAGCAAATAACTTTGATTCTCACCTTTGAAATTTGGTTAATTGAAATCTATTGAACGATTGAAGCACAAACTGAAAGTTGTTGGCACTGTATATTAAAAGATTGAACAAAGAGAAAATTTACAGAGAACTTGTGGGAGCAAATAACTTCAATTATCACCATTGAAATATGATTAATTGAAATCCCTCGGACATTTTGAGGCCACAAATTAGTAGTCGGCACTGTGCATTAAAATTTTGAAGGCAATTATTGAGAAATCAATGGTCTTTGATAAGTTCTCTTGGATTTGTGATACGTGACTTGTTATAAATAACATGTAAACTGTGATATTGATTCAATAGAAAATGACCAGTTCTTTTGGATATGTGATCGATGGGCGTTAATTTATTACATATTTAATATGACCTGTGATATGTGAACCATTATTTGTAACCTATAACATATGAGCTATAATCTATAAACTTAAATTTGTGACCTATTATTAGTGCACAAAAACATACGACATCTGATATGTGATCAATTAATTTTGATCTATGACCTATTAGCATTGATTTGTGACCTATACAATATAAACTGTGAAGTGTGACATGTGATCTGTAAACATAAATTCGTGATATTTGACCAATTATATTTGATCTGTGACCTATGCACATGTGACATCTAATCTGTGACAGTTAATTTTGATCCGTGACCTACTGACACTAATTTGTAGCCTGTACAATATAATATGTGAAGCGTGACCTGTAAACATAAATAAATCAGTGATCTGTAACCTATGAACATTGATCTATGACATGTACAACCTCTGACTCGTGAACAAAATGTGAGTCACGATTACAAATTTAATCACTATCTCACTTTTTAAGGTCACATATTATTTATTGTTTACAAATTATCTATTTTATTGATTACATACTACATCTCACAAATTAACCTAATTATTTAGTCACAAAGCTTCTTTATACAACAGCAACCTCAACCCAACCTAAAACCAGCACCACAACCATCGTCACCGCCAACACCTATAGTGCATCGAATAAGAATACTATACACAAAAACTACCAACAAACGACCCACAACAAATATGATATCCAAACAAGACAAATAACAAACACAAAAAATAGGAAACAATCGCTACCTCTATCATTAACCACCCCAATCACCACAACTATCACTAATCACATCCACTATTGACATTCCAAAATTGAAACCCACGCAGCTCGGATTGTTAGTATAAAGCTCCCAGAGGATGGAGTTTCTAACTGTCTCAATAAAGACTTATCTATTGTCGTTGATTGCAACAACTTGACAGTCTTCGCCGACGACGGGAGGTTGTCTGTTACTTGGCCATAATTTATCCCGATGAATGACTCTGACTCTAGGAAAACAACATAAATAGAAATTTCCCTTCGCTGCACCACTATGCACAGCCGAACATAACTGTGTGTGGCTTTGAATGACACCGGAATGGGATGGGTGGGTAGAAAGAGAAAGAGAGGAAAGAGAGAATAGAGAACAAAGAACAGCATCGCTTTATAAAGCTTCACTCCATTTCAAGCACGACTGATGCGATAAAAAATGAGCCAAGATATATACATGGTCAGACAATGCAGTCTGAGAATGTGAGAAGAAGAGAAGCTGGTGAAGCTGAGCAAGAGAAGAGAGGAAGGGGGCTGGTTCTGCTGCTGGTTAAGCTGGTGAAGCTGAGCAAGAGAAGAGAGGAAGGGGGCTGGCTCTGCTGGTTCTGCTGCTGGTTCTGCCGGGCGCCTAGGCGCCAGGAGTGGGCGCCTAGGCGCCCAGTTTCTGCCTCCCCGGCAGTAACATGGCGCCTGGGCGCCACTTCCATGGCGCCTCGGCGCCCCGGCTGGTGTTCCCAAACAGAAACCCGACGCCTAGGCCACTCTTGTGGCGCCTAGGCGCCCCGATAGCTATATATATCCATTCTTTTCCCTCTTTCAAACATAACATACACAACCCAAGACCTAGAGAGAAAAGAGAGAAAACTTTGGAGAGAATTTTTACAAGATAGAAGGTTGTTCATCTTGGGTATAAATTCAAAGGTATTTTCTTTCTTGGGGATTAACTTGAGGCTTGTTCAAGTAATCCTAACACATTGATTATCATATATTCCATTGGATTCATTTCTTCCTCATTTTCTTGTTCTTCATGTATTTTGGATTTTTCACTTTGCCAACTTAGTTTGATCTTTGGGCATTCATTGGGAGGTGTTTTCCCAACAGAGAACAAGTTCTGGGTGGTGGTCAGGGGCTGGATTTGGGAGTGAAGAGAGGAAAATGAGGGATTGATAGTGTTGTGGGATAGGTGGGTTGATAGATTACTTTAATTTTATGAAATTATTATTAATATTAAAAAGTTGAATTACTATTTTATTTTTGAAATGTAACATTTAAATACTTGCCTCCTTATAATTTCCACTTTTAATATAATGTTTAGTGAAAGTTATTCTAGACTAGACTTTTCAAGATCATAGTTCGAAAATCAGATTTGAAAATCAGGTAATACTTTTCATTTTTAATATTATAAAATTAAATTAATCTACCTAAACCCCCACGCCCTGTCCCACACCTTACTCCACCCAACAAACCCTAATATATCTTTAAAAAGAGTTTCAACTACTACTTCAATTTCCATCTCGTGTTTGGCGATAACAGGCATAGAACTAGTCATCGTGTCGTAAGCAGCGACACGTGCTCCCATCGTCATTTTTCTTTTCTTTTTTCCCTCTTTTGCATTTAAGTTCTGTAAAGGTTGAATCTCAATCTTAAGGGCCCCCACGGACCCTATCCTGGGCCATCGTGGAGGAGGTAAATCGCAGGATGTGCCTCCCAGGAGCCAGGGTGGAGAGCACATGGATAGGCCAAGGCTGTTAACCCATATGGTAACTCCCGCTTGCAATAAAGCCAATTCCACCTTGCGGGGAATCGAACTTTGCACACTGCCGCGCTGAGCCCTATCCGCCCTCCCCTTTGCCACTGGGAGATATGCCCTATCCGCCCTCCCCTTTGAGTTCCTTAGTTGTTATGGTGGTGGTGGTGGTGAGGTGGTTTGGGGATTTTTTGCACTGGTTGCTAAACTTGAGGTGGTGCACCATTTTTTTTTACGGTGACTTGCACGATCTTTTTTATGCAACGTCACAAATCTTTTCAGGTGACTTCTCTCTAGTACAATGTGGCCCACTATGGGTAGGTGGTTTTTTAAAAAGGTTGAACCCCAACCTTGAAGGCAAGGCTCCCACTGCTTCGTCCTTAGAGTTTTGTGAGAGAGGTAAATAGAGGGATGTGCCCCAACAAGTCAGGGAACAAGAGCTGTCTGTATACTACGCCTACAAGGAATCCAATTCCATGTTTCAGGAATCGAACCCCTACATTGCGGCTGCCAACAAAACATGAGATAACCTTACTCTTATCCTTTGCACCACTAGGCTATGCCCCGAAGGGCAGGTAGGTGGTTTTTTTCTATTTGTGGTTGGGTGGTTTATGTGAGTGCGGTAGTGTTGGAAGAAATAGTGAATTTTAGTTGGCGTTGGTTGTGGTTGTGTAGTGGTTGATTGGAGTTGTAGGTGGAGGTAGCGGGTGGTGTTGGAGAAGGCAGTTGTGGGGGGTGGCAGTGGCGATGTATGTGGTAGTCATAGCGATGATGGCTGGAAGAAATGATGGATTTTAGTAGGCGATATTGGTGTTTTTCAAGGGGAATCTATGGAAGTGAATTAGGCTGTGTGCGATAGTTGGGTGCAGTTGTAGTGTGTAGTGTGTAGTGATGGTGTGCCGTGATCTGTGATGGTGGTGTTGTAGTTGATGTTGGTGGCAGTTGTGGTGGTGGTGCAGAGGCAGGGGTGGGAAGAAGAGGGTTTGTTACCAACTATTTGATTGATTTATGATCAAGTATTGGTGGTGGATTAGGATTAGAGATGGGAATGGGGTGTTTGGTGTATGTGATCAACTATTTGATTAATTTGTGACCAACCATTTAATTTCGATCTAAAAATTATATAATTTGTGACCGATAAATAATTGTAAGCAAGTAATTTGAAAATCTGTGACCAATGAATAAATTGTGACATATATGTGACCGTAAAATAATTAGTGATAAATTAATTTGATAATATGTGACTAATAAATAAATTATGACCTATAAGTATGAAATTATGATCATTTATTGTATAATTGTGCCTTAATATATTTAATTAATAACATATATTTAATTATTTATTTGTTAGATGAGTTTTGAATTTTGAAACGTAATACTTGAAAATTGAATTGATCATAGTTAATATCTGCGTTGTGAAGTTTTCCCTAATTGTTAATGAAGCAGAAAGGATTGGACTTTGCCTATGGGCATATTGTTCAACCCAAGCTTTTGTGTATGCGTTGGAGGCTGAAAATTGTAAATTGACACAAATAGCACAATATTTTCGTTTTCATTGTTTTCTTTCAATTTTAAGACGTAAATCTTTGCGATAAAAAGATGAGTGTTAACCTTCTAAAATCAATTGAATTTTTCTATATCTTAGTCTTATATTGATCTTGATTTTAGTCAAGTACAATGTAGCATTTTGACGAAACTATTTTTTAAGGAATTTTTTTTTTTTTTTGACCCGATCAACTTGGGACAATGTCTAATAACTATTTTCACATCTTTTGACAATATATTTTAGAGAAAATTAGAATCAGAAACATTGTTTTTCCAAAGATATTGAAATACACTTTCAGTTGCCAAATTGTTGACAAATATTGATCACCTTATAAGTTCTTTTTTATTAATGTGATAAAATCGATCAGACTACAATCAAAAAATTTATGCACTCTCAAACTATCGAAGAATCTTCCTCCTCCATCGACATTCTTCAAACCCTAATTTCACCTTGTTAAATATTAATAAAGGTTGTAGCATATTGTTGTGGGAGAATATGCCATGTATCCAAGGGTGAATTTAGAATCAGACTAGAAAAACTTTTAAGACGGGCTAATATGTTAAGAAAAAATTGACATATAAAAAATAAATTTACCCATTTAAATTTGAAATAGGCTGGGAGGAGACTTGGCCAAACCCCAGCCGAGTCCCCTCTAAAATCCGTCATTGCACATATCAAACTTTTTGCGTGAAGGTTTTTAAAATACGTCCAAGTAACGTAGAACTTGTTATTTCTCGCTACTTCACCTCATCATAGAAGAATGATTTTGTTACCTCATATTCTCAATACAGATTATATAATGTTCGGTAAAGTATGCTTTGAGGTGTATAATATAATATTATGAAAAGATATTGCTGATCACATATGCAAGTTGTTATTAATTGTTAATGAGTGTTACGTTCCTATCGGAACCACATCAGAAATTTCATCACTGCACCATCAAGGTGTCCACCACCAACCTGAAGTGTTTCCGAAGTGACTCCTCCCACCAATGTCCGCGCGCTGCAGGGCACAAAACAATCCTACCGAACCGACCAAAGTTTCCTTGACGTCGAAGCGCAATACACTCCAAGGTTCTCCTTCCGCGCCACTTTCAGAAAGAAATTTGTGTCAAGATCCTCTCTGCCCCCAAGACTTAATTGATTTGACGTCTCCAAGGATCTAGTTAACGTGACGTATCAACTTTATTTTAACTCAACTCAGGAGAAGTTATTACCCGCCCACTCTATAGACGCGCTGATTGACACCTATGAGTAGGCGCTTCACATCGTCAGATGTATACACGTGTCCCACATTCAATGGTTCTCCTCATCTAAAAATACCCAAAGTTTAACAAGAGACAGAGGTAATGAAACTCTTTCAACTTAGCTCTCTGTAACAAAAAAATATAAAATCTCCTCCCCACTCTCTTGCACAACTTGAGTACTGTTCCGATCACCGGTTACTAATTTGACCGTTGGAGTGTATGCAGCCGCCACCACCCCAACTAATTTCAACAGTGTGCATCTGACCGTGTGTTGATTGTGCGCAGGGAGGATCACGTAGAGTGTCTATTGGTTGGATACGTAGGAGGTCCAATTCGCAAGGTCAATAATGAGTATAATGATTTTGATATTTTAATTTGTCATTGAGAGTATTTGATGAATCAAATTAGGGTTGAGCTATATGTACACCTTACAGCTTGGTGTACAGCTCCTCACATGGGAGGTAGGACCCGCGCATTAATTGGGCTTGGGCCCCTCCCCTCATGTGAGGAGAGTGTATAATGAAATGTAAGGCTCGATGTACAAGGGGTGAGATCCATCAAATTATGCAACAAGAAATAGTTTTGTTGATTCTTTGATTTGAAACTTCTTTTAAACTAGTAAATTTAATTCATGGTACTTTTCAATTGATTTAGTGGCAAATACACCACTCAATATTTTTCAATTTCTACATTTTTTTTTT